CACTGGTTAAAGCCTGTAGGAGGAGTTTCATTCTCCTCTGACTGTCCTATGAGGCTGCATGATCCAGACCCTCTGTATGGACAGTGCTGATTGTCCCTGTGTTGATCACATGCATCCTCCCAAAGAAAGATAAAACTCCCTTGCAATACACACCAAACTGAGCATGTGCAGAGTAACTCCTAGAGCTCTGTACTATCAGCAGATAGACTGGGGACAGTAGCAGAAAGGGAGGATCAGAGAAGACAGGATCAAAGAGCCTTTATACATAATGTGGAGGATTGACACCTTAGGTTCCATAGTGAGTATAACAAGCATGCTTTCTGTATATACGTACTGATGTTACTGTTGTGGGTTTAGTAACACTTTAAGAGATCAGAACCTGGGATCAAATCTCTGAACCAATCCAGGCTGTGTGCTACACAGGTGATGTCTCAGTTGTATATCACAACAATTTACTGTGATACAGTAAGGGTAATATGTTTTCTTTGCTGTTATCTTAAAGAATATGTTAACCCAACATTTCATATTCCAGATATGTGCCTGCTGTACCACGTACTTGTATGAAAAAGTATCCTGTTCTCTTTGTATTGCTTCATTTGTGTGAAATCCCCGGTGTTTCTGCCAGTCCCTCTGCTTTCCTATTAAAAACTGACGAAACTAAGAAAGAGAACACATCGTGGTCCATTCTCTAGCTATGCTGGGATCTCAGTCTGCTCTCCTCCAATGATCAGTGTACGGCTGTTTCTCCTCCCCTAGCTTTTATGCAGCTAAAAACAGAAGGCATGTGATCACTTATAAAAAAAGAAATAAAAGTGTTTATATTGTTTTTTTTTTTATATCTATACACAAATGTTTTGCTTTTAATTTCTATTTAGAACTGAATGTATTACTTTACAAGATGAGGGTTTACAAGATAAACACTAACACCCGAACCCTTTTAGCCCCTTTCACACAAACAGTCTGATCGGGTCCCCCTGTCAGTTTTTTAGCCGGACCAGATTAGACCCTCCATTCAACCCTATGGACCAACGGGTGTAAACAGACTTGTGTACCTCCAATCTAGGCGGATCAAAGGGCAGTCGGGTATAAACAGTGTGTAGAACCCATTTACACATGCCAGTCCACAGAGCAGAGTGGACTCAGTCTGTGTCTGCTCTGCATAAACTGCGGGGACATGGACCAGTCATCCACCCACTCTGCTGTAATCAGCAGGGGACCAGTGGATAGATCCCTTGCTGATCTAATCTGAGTCTGTCCTGTGTTAAACGGGCCTTACAACTTTGACATGTTAGTAAAACTGTACATTTCTTTGCAACTACCTACTCTATCCAAGTGAATTGTACCTTGTTTTTTTCATGACACATTGGGCCTTCATTTTGTATAAATGTTAATGGAAATCTGAGGATTTTTTTTTATTTTTTATCAAAGAAAATTGTCCCAAAAAGAAAAAAATATTTTAACATTTCTTGCTATATATTTCTTGCCATTACCATGACTTACTGCCAGAAAGCAACCCCAAATAACTTCTCCTACACCTAAATTGTATGGCGACACCACATATGTGTGCATATTTGTTGTTTGTACCCCTAGAAGGGCCCAAAAACAACAGTCTGCATTTTTTTTTTATCTTACCTTGTATAACACACAGACACTAACACTAACCTAGATCAAGCCCTAGTCTAAATATTTTATCTTTATTGCTTTTTTTAATTTTTTCAACAGACTTATTCTAGAGAGCTTTTGCAAAGATACAATGGGGAGAATTTATCAAGACTGGAGCAGACAGACTCTGAAACAATTCAGCCTGTGTCACCAGCTTACTTAGTTAAAATATACTGTAGCTAAAAGCAAAATTTTCTTTTCAGTTTTGGATAGAGTGAGAGTAATAAGAACACATCAGGTATTTATAACTTAGGCAGATTCATTCTCTCTACTAGTCCTGTTTATTGTCGTCACAGAACGTGAAAGTAAAAGAAAATCCAAAAGTTTGGGTTGTCCCCAGAACTGGAAAAGAAGGGATATCTTCCAACAGCAACACTAGTTCTGGTGACCCTGGTGATAACCAGGGATTCCCTCGCTTTAGAGGGCTTTTCTCTTACTTCCTGTTTGGGCTATGGGACAGGAAATGAATGGAAATCTCCCCAATGGGATGCAGATGGCAAAAATAAACCTTATGCTACCCAAAATGAAAAGTAACGTTTTGCCTTCAGTTTTACTTTAAACTTTGAACATGAAGGCTAGCAGGTGAATGGTTGCCATGCACAACTGCTCTGGATTCTGTCTGCTCCAGTTTTGATGAATTCCCCTCTATTTATCTGTCCACACAGAGCAAAAAGAATACAGGGGAGGTGTTTTTTTTTTACTAGCCATCACAGTGATCATGCAATTGGGAGTCACTCCCCTGGCATTTGATCTTTAGTCAAGGTGCATCCTATATTTAACCTCTTGCCGACCGCGCATAGCCGAATGACGGCTTCACCGCGGCCGGCCAGTTCTGAGTGGACGTCATATGACGTCCTCCCAGAACGCGCTCTCCTGCGCGCCCCAGGGGGCGCGCACCCGGCGATCTCCGTGATCGCTGTGTCCTACGGACACAGCTGATCACGTGATGTGGTGAAAGGCCGATCCCACCGGCCTTTTACCACGTGATCAGCGGTGTCCAATGACACGCTGATCACAGGGAAATGCAAGTGCCGGTTCTCGGCTGCACTTTCCTCACGCTGTCAGATCGTGAGGAAAGTACTGCCGAGAACCGGCAGTTGTCAGAGCGGGGATCGGCACCGATCATCAGGGCACTGATGATCAGTGCCCTGATGATCGGTGCCCAGCAGTGACACCCGCAAGTTCCGCCCAGCAGTGCGCCCACTAGCCCCGCCCACCCGTTCCCAGCAGTGCCCCCACCTGTGCCCAGCAGTGCCCCCACCTGTGCCCAGCAGTGCCCCCACCTGTGCCACTCTGCAGTGCCACCTACCTGTGCCCAGAAGTGCCACCTACATGTGCCCAGCAGTGCAACCCACCTGTGCCCACCCACCTGTGCCCACCAGTGCCACCCACCTGTGCCCACCCCACCCACCTGTGCCCACCAGTGCCACCCACCTGTGCCCACCCACCAGTGCTGCCCACCAGTGCAGCCCAGCAGTGCTGCCAGTCAGTGCCACCAGTCAGTGCCCAGGGGTTGTGCCAGTCAGTGCCGCCAGTCAGTGCCCAGAAGTGATGCCAGTCAGTGCCGTCTATCAGTACCCATCATCAGTGTCACCTATCAGTGCCGCCTATCAGTGCTGCATATCAGTGCCGCCTATCCGTGACCCCTAATTAGTGCTGTCTATCTATCAGTGCCGCCTATCCGTGCCACCTCATTAGTACTGCCTATCAGTGCCCTTTAGTGCTGCCTATCAGTGCCGCCTATCAGTGCCCATCAGTGCCGCCTCATCAACGCAAATCAGTGAAGGAGAAAAAATACCTGTTTGAAAAATTTTTATAAAAGAAACAAATAAACTTTTTTTTTTTCAAATTTTTTGCACTTTTTAAATTTATAGCGCAAAAAGTAAAGTGCCCAGTGGCGATTAAATACCACCAAAAGAAAGCTCTATTTGTGAGAAAAAAATGATCAAAATTTCATATGGGTACAATGTTGCATGACCGCGCAATTGTCAATCAAAGTGCGGCAGCGCTGAAAGCTGAAAATTGGCCTGGTAAGGAAGGGGGTATAAGTGCCTGGTAGGCAAGTGGTTAAAAAAGGATCAAAATCTTTACCAAGTAATTATAGACCTGTTAGTTTAAAATCTATAGTTGGGAAGATACTGGAAAGTTTAATAAAAATACCACATAGATGGAGTTCTTGCTGGAAAAAAGTACTTTAAGCAATAGACAGCATGGATTCATTAAAGACAGAAGTTGTCAAACAAATCTGATTTCTCAAAACTCAAAATGTAGTCCCCCCCTCGTGACTGCTTTGTCCAGCGGACACAGCAGAATGAAGATCCAGGTAAACGGGACCCGGTGATCATGTGTTCACTATGCGATCACATGATCACAATGTAAGCACAGCTGTTATGAATCAATCTCATTCATAACAGCTCTGCTCCTCTTCTTAATGAGTTGTGATTTCCCATACAATGTGGCATCTCAAAGTGTGAACTGCTTCTTCAACATAAAAATATGATTCTACTTTCTGGTAAATGTTGATAAAACCGGCCCACACTTTCATGAATCCAGAGCATTACACCTTGAACTCAGAACTAAAAACAGGAGTTGGAAACAGGAAGCAACATCAAAGCATTAAAACTGTTCATAAAATTACCAGTCGGCTCATTGTGTTAGCTGGTGAAATTATTTAGAACATTTGTTAGTGGATATGCATATTTCTGTTAACCACTTCAAGTCTGGACACTTTTACCCCCTTCCTGTCCAGGCCAATTTTCAGATTTCAGTCCAGGCCAATTTTCAGCTTTCAGCGCTATCACACTTTGAATAACAATTGCATGGTCATGCAACACTGTACCTGTATGAATATTTTAGCATTTTTTTGAGACAGACAAAGCTTTATTTTGGTGGTATTTATTCACCACTGGGATTTTTTTTTTTTTTTTTGCTATATAAATGAAAAAGTCCAAAAATTTTGAAAAAAAAAGTGTTTTTCTTATAAAGTTTGCAAATAAATAACATTTCATCATAAATCTTGGAAAAATTTTAATTAACTTATCTTTTTAGTAAAAAAAAAACTCAAATTAGTTTATAACCAAAAATTATAATTTTTAAAAAAATGTTGGACATTTTTTTTTTTTTATATTATTATTTATGTTTTTTTTACATACTGTCACCCTAGCAGTACAGTGTCACCATGGTGACACTGTACTACTTGTGGGGGGTAATGAAGATTTTTTTTTTTTTTACACTGATTGCTTTTACACCCATAAAGGCTGTAAAAGCAATCGTTTCTCCTTCTCTCTGGTTGCATTCTTGCAGCCATTGAGAAATATTGTGTGAGCTGTGATTGGTCACAGCTTGTCACATGGTACAAGGCAATTGTGAATAGCCTTGTACCATGTGACCTCTGTGATCATTCACAGATTTCACACGTAGTAAGCAATGATGTCAGAAGTGACATCTTGCTTACTACTCTGCATGTGATCACTGATTGGCCAATCAGTGATCACATGATCGGGACCTCGCACTGTGTCCGGGCACCGGATCACGGTGCTGCGTGCTCCTAGGGAGTGCGCACAAGTAGGGGGCGGGGAGGCCGTTTGTAAACGGCCACCTGCCCCTGCACTGCCACCGTCTGGCTGTTTATACACAACGGCCAAACAGGAAGTGGTTAACAAACCCTTAATACAAGTTTTTCTTTCTCTCCCCATAGATATAGCTGCAAAATTGTGGACAGATTATCAACATCACCGCGGTCAAGCCATCTGTTTTCCATTTTCTTTTAACCACTTGCCACCCGGCCTATGGTCAAATGACGGCTGGGCGAACTTCGTCCCTCCGGGAAGGCGTCATATGACGTGCTTCCCGGATTAGCTGTGCACGTGCCCGCAGGGACGCGCTGTGGCAAAACCTGTCACCGGCCGTGTACCTTGGACTCGGCCGGTGACAAATCTGTGTACCGGCCCCGTTGCCAGTACCATGTGACCAATCAATGCAGGTCACATGACAGTTATATACGATGGATGGCTTCCTTTCATGCCATCCATTGTATACAACTGTGTCTAGCTGTGTATGGTCACAGCAATCACATGCACAGGTTGGGCCGATCAAAGCCCATCTGTGTCATGTGATTAGCCATTGCCAATCACAGCTAATCACAACAAATAAAACCTGAATGAATCTATTTCATTCAGTTAAATGCTTGCTTAAAGCAAATAAATGCTTTGCTATAAGCAATCAAATTGTGTAAAAAAAAAAAAAAACTGATCACTTCCCAAAAGTAGCACAGTGTTAATATGGTAACATTATGCTACGTTGGTCATAGTGCAATATGAAAAACAATCTTAAAAAAATAAAAAATACAAAAAAATTTAAAAAATTTAAAAAAAGAGAAAAAAAATATATATTTTTTTCTGTACTGTCACCAGTCAGTGTCCCTGATCACCGCCACACCAATTATATGCTGACGGTGTACTGCAATGGTGACAGTATGTGAAAAAAAAATTGCGAAATTATTTTTTTTAATTTCTTCATTTTCAGAAAAATTCTGACAAAAAAATTACAACTTTAAAAAACTTGCCATGCCTCTTATGAAATACGTCGGACTGTCTACTTTGAAAAAAGGGGTCATTTGGGAGATATCTATACTGTTCTGACATTTGTGGGCTTCAAGAAATTAGATTGGCTGTCAGTACTTCAGGACTGATCCATTTTCAGATAAATCCCATAGTTTGTGAACTCTATAACTTTCCTGCAGATTAAATAATAAATACTGATTTGGGTTATTTTCACCAAAAAAACGTAGCAGAATACATCTTGGCCTAAATTTATGAAGAACAATTATTTATTTGCAAATTTGTTTTGTTAATTTAGCAAAAAATCAAAACCCCGGAGGTGATTAAATACCACCAAAAGAAAGCTCTAGTTGTGTCAACAAAATGATAAAATTTTAGTTTGGGTACAGTGTTGCATGACTGCGCAATTGTCATTCAAAGTGTGAGAGCGCTGAAACCTGAAAATTGGCCTGGGCAGGAAGGGGGTAAAAGTGCCCTGTATTGAAGTGATAGATAATTAAGTTATTTAGTTAAGTAAGTAAGTTACATAAGGGCAGCACAGTGGCATAGTGGCTAGCACTCATGCCTTGCAGCACTGGTTCCTTGGTCTCTTATTCTAACCAGGATACTACCTGCATGGAGTTTACATGTTCTCCCTGTGCTTAACCACTTGCCCTTCAGAGGATTTTCCCCCCTTCCTGACCAGGCCATTTTTTGCATTATGGCGCTGAGTTACTTTAACTGACAATTGTGCGGTCATGCAACTCCGGACCCAGATTAAATTTACAAACTTTTGAATTGAGCTTTCTTTCGGTGGTATTTGATAGCCTGTGAATTTTTTATTTTTTGCACTATAAGCAAAAAAAGGCCGACAATATTGAGGGGAAAAAAAAAAACAATATTTTTGACTTTTTGCTATTAAACATGTCCAGTAAAAAAATTTAAAAAATCAAATTTCGTCATAAATTTAGGCCAAAATGTATTCTGCTACATGTCTTTGCTAAGAAAAAAAAAATCCGTGCAAATGAATCGGTTTACATGAAAGTTGTAGCATTTACAAATGGCAGTATAGATATTGGGATTTTTAAATTTTTTTTTTCCTACTAGTAATGGCGGCGATGAGCGATTTTTTTGCGAGACTGCAGCGGGCATTTGACACTGGGGGGAACTAACTTGGTGTCACTGACATCCCCAGTGACACCAATACAGTGATCAGTGCTAAAAAACAGCACTCAGAACTCTGCCACCAAGTGGTAGGCCACGTAAGATGACAGAGCGGATCAGTGCATGCTGAAGCGCACAGTGAACAGAGGTTGCCAACTATATGCAGAGTCAATATCTTAACAGTGCAAAGAGAGCTTCATGGAATGGGTTTCCATGGCCGAGCAGCTGCATCCAAGCCTTACATCACCAAGTTCAATGCAAAGTGTCAGATGCAGTGGTGTAAAGCCTGCCACCATTGGACTCTAGAGCAGTGGAGACATGTTCTTTGGAGTGACCAATCACGCTACTCTGTCTGCCAATCCGATGGACGTGTCTGGGTTTGGCGGTTGCCAGGAGAACGATACTTGCCTGACTGCATTGTGCCAAGTGTAAAGTTTGGTGGAGAGGGGATTATGGTGTGGGGTTGTTTTTCAGGGGTTGAGCCTGGTCCCTTAGTTCCAGTGAAGGGAATTCTTAAGGCATCAGCATACCAAGACATTTTGGACAATTTCATGCTCCCAACTTTGTGGGAACAGTTTGGGGATGGCCCCTTTCTGTTCCAACTTGACTGCGCACCAGTGCACAAAGCAAGGTCCATAAAGACATGGATGAGCGAATTTAGGGTAGAGGAACTTGAATGGCCTTCACAGAGTCCTGACCTCAACCCAATAGAACACCTCTGGGATTAATTAGAGTGAGACTACGAGTCAGTGCCTCGTCTGACATCAGTGCCTGACCTCCCAACATTCCCATAGACACACTCCTAAACCTTGTGGACAGCTGTACCAGAAGAGTTGAAGCTGTTATAGCTGCAAAAGGTGGGTCAACTCAGTATTGAACCCTACGAACTAAGAATGGGATGCCATTAAAGTTCATGTGCATGTAAAGGCAGGCGTCCCAATACTTTTAGCAATACAGTGTACATAGCAATATATGTGAACTAAAATCCCTGATTTTATGCAAAGCTTGCTAGAAAAAGTTGTATAGTAGTGTGCAGAGGGTTCATTCAGAATTTGTAATAAAGTGTGGGAACAGTATTTCTATCAGGCTGGTTAAGTATTCATTATCATTCATCTACACAAGTGCATAAAATATAAAAGGAAACTCATCATTGTCCACATTTTCTCCATTGTTATCAGTAATGTAATAAATCAGACATAGCTAGTCATACTGTATATACATTTCTATGTAGTTCATGGTAATTAAAATGCTCACGCTACCTAATTAAAGCTGGCCATAGAGGGATAGAATTTAGAAGAAAAATTCTTAGGAAAATTTGTATGAAAAGATACACTATTTTGCCAAAAGTATTGGGACACCTGCCTTTACACGCACATGAACCTTAATGGCATCCCAGTCTTCCTCAGTAGGGTTCAATATTGACTTCGCCCAACCTTTGCAGCTATAACAGCTTCAATTCTTCTGGGAAAGCTGTCCACAAAGTTTAGGAGTGTATCTATGGGAATGTTTGACCATTATTCCAGAAGAATATTTTTGAAGTCAGGCACTGATGTCAGACGATAAGGCCTGGCTTTCATTCTCCACTCTAATTAATCCCAAATGTGTTCTATCTGATTGAGGTCAGGACTCTGTGCAGGCCAGTCAAGTTCCTCCCCTCCAAACTCACTCATCCACGTGTTTATGGGCCTTGCTTTGTGCACTGGTGCGCAGTCATGTTGGAACAGGAAGGGACCATCCCCAAACTGTTCCCACAAAGTTGGGAGCATGCAATTGTCCAAAATGTCTTGGTATGCTGATGCCTTAAGAGTTCCCTTTACTGGAACTAAGGGGCCAAGCCCAAACCCTGAAAATGGACCCCACACCATAATCCCCCCTCCACCAAACTTTACACTTGGCACAATGCAGTCAGGCAAGTACTGTTCTCCTGGCAACCGCCTAACCCAGACACGTCCATCGGACTGCCAGAGAAGCGTGATTCGTCACTCCAGAGAACACGTCTCCGCTGCTCTAGAGTCCAGTGGTGGCTTACTTTGCACCACTGCATCCGATCCTCTGCATTGCACTTGGTGATGTAAGGCTTGGATGCAGCTGCTCGGCTATGGAAACGCATTCCATAAAGCTCTTTACGCACTGTTGTGCTAATCTGACTGCAAAATTGGCTGTGGAATATTTAGTAGAAAGGAGATTTCATGGCAGAACTTACTGCACAGGTGGCAACCTATCACAGTACCACACTTGAATTCACTGAGCTCCTGACAGCGACCCATTCTTTCACAAATGTTTGTAGAAGCAATCTGCATGCCTAGGTGCTTGATTTTATACACCTGTGGCCATGGAGTTGATTGGAACACCTGAACCCAATGATTTGGAGGGGTGTTCCACAACTTTTGGCAATATAGTGTATATGAAATTTGTCAGAACATTTGATTGTCATTCAAAAGATGAATGAATAGACTTTACCAAATGAAAACCACATACACGGTTTGAAAATTGTTTGTTCGAGAAATAGTTGGTGTCAGTGGAAGGAATTATACCCCATCGTTGGTGTCAGTGGCAGGAATAGTGCCCCAATGTTGGTGTCAGTGGCAGGAATAATGCCTCAAGGGCCATATAAAGGCAAGCAAAAGGCTGCATCCAGCCCCAGGGCCCCAGTTTGGAGACCACTGGACTAGGCCATTATGGTGGTGTCACAATCTTGTCATTAGATTCGTGTCTAATTTTTTTCAGCTAAATTCCAGAGGATAAAACAAATGAGTGACACCTTTACTAGCTTTGATACATCTCAACTGAGCACTTTAGGCGCATAGGAATTCATTTCGTGGAGCAACTTTGGGCATATTAGTTTTGGGCAGATGTATAAGTTTAGACCTGCTTAGTTTTCTATAACATTTTCTATAAAATTACCCCTACCATACCAAATGCCTATTAACCCTGTAGGTCACTCCTTAAAAAGGAACACATCAAGAGGTCTGCTAACTGTCACAACAGTTGCTGCCAGCACCCAAGTGCTAAAGAGGTAAAGCATGGGTGTCCAACTCATGGCCCAAGAGAGTTAAGCATGCAACCTGGGCACATCTGGAGGGAAACCACGGATGCCCTGCACGGCATTACAGCTGTGGTGGAGGCCGGCAAGGACAAGCCAGGCCCAGGCACATCTGGAGGGATGCCGCATTTAGCATAGCAGTGGCAGCGGTGGCTGGCAGACAAGCCAGGCCTAGCCACATCTAGAAGAATGGTGTGTTTGGCATAGCACTGGCGACAGCGAATGCAGGGACTCCAGCTAGTGTCAGGCAAGTAAGTGCAGCATGGCCAGATCTGGGGTGGGGTGCCTAATTGCAGCTTTGCCCCCCCCTCCCAGAAAAACCCCCAGACCTCAACCCCCCCACCCCCTCACAGCACATAGTTGAAATTCGATTGTTAACGTGTGATTTACCCGACTTTTTTTTCTGCATCATCAGCTATCCTTAAAGTGATATTAAAGTCTTGTTTTTTTAAAATAACAAACATGTCTATACTTACTTGCTCTGTGCAGTGGTTTTGCACAGAGCAGCCCCGATCCTCATCTTCTCGGGTCCCCCGTCGGCACCCCTCCCTGGCTCCTTCCTCCTGCTGAGTGCCCCCAGAGAAAGCAGCTTGATTTGGGGTGCCCAAGAAGGCGCGCTCCCAAGCCGTGGCTCTGCGTGTCCATTCACATACAGAGCAGTGTCTTGGCTCCGCCCCCTCTCTTGATTGGCTCGCTAGATGTGAATGACATCAGCAAGAGACAATAGCTGTGGACACAGCTGGATTGAGGGGGGGCTCAGGTAAGAATTGGGGGCGGGGGGCTGCTGCACATAGGTTTTTTACCTTCATGCATAGAATAAAAAAACCTTCAGCCTTAAGAATCACTTTAAGCTGGGTACATATACTTAGTTTTTTTTAATTTAACCCAGCGGGCTGATGAAAAAAACTAACAGATTGCCGTACTGGGCCCGGCAGGCGTTTGTCGTCAGATACATATATTGTCGCACATGTAAATACAAGGTAACATACATATACACATTTGGATATCATTACAGAAAAAATTATTATTTTTATAATTTTGTTTACCTTTCTGAGTTTGCCTTGCGGTTAAGAGTGGGCAATTTTTAATTGAGGTTAATTACATTAACTATTTCCATGTCTTAAAATTGTTGTATATGATTGTATATATTCTGTCCTAGTTTGTGTATAACAAGATCCAAGGTCCCGAGGAAGCGGGTTTTCTTCAAAACACGTCAGACATTTAAAATTAGGATCTCGTGAACAGATATATGGTTATAAGCGACATCATATATTTAAAAAGTTTTTTATGTTGTCTGTTTTGTGATATATGTACCTGGTAACAATAAAATATTGTTTTTATGAATTGATATTCTCTTTGGTACTATACCTCGAGAGGTACACTTATAGTCCCATATTATAAGCATTGTATCCATAGTCCATTTAAAATGGTTTCCTATTGGACACGTTCACATCTATGCTTTTTTGAGCCGCCGCGTTTTTGGAAAGGGTCAGGGACTTTTTAAAATGCAAAACGTTGCATTTTTGGTTCAATAGACTTCAATGGAGATGCTGCCTAAAATGCATGTAGATGCTGCCTACAATGCATGTAGTGCGTTTTTGATGCATTTTCATGAATTTGCTGCATTTTTGAGAGAAATATCATTTTACCCCTGTACAAATAATTAGTAAAACCTCATCTGGAATATGCAGTTCAGTTTTGGGCACTAATTCATAAAAAAAGTATTCGGAAACTGGAGAAGGTGGAGAGAAGGGCAACCAAACTGGTAAGAGGCATGAAGGAGCTTAGCTATGAGGAAAGATTAGAGGAACTGAATTTATTCTCTCTTAAGAAAAGGCAATAAAGGGGGATATGATCAACATGTATAAAACATAAGTGGTCCATATTCAACTTAAGGTCATCACAGAGGACAAGGGGGCACTCTTTATATCTGTAGGAAAAGAGATTTAATCTCCAAATACGGTAAGGTTTCTTCACAGTAAAAGCTGTGAAAATGTGCAATGTGGAAATGTGGAATAGACTCCCTCAAGAGTTGGTTCTGGCCAGCTCAGTAGATTGCTTTAAAAAAGACCTGGATTCATTCCTAGATATACATAATATAACCGGATACTAACATTTATAGGTAAAGTTGATCCAGGGAATATCTGATTGCCTCTTGGGGGATCAGGAAGGAATTTTTTCTCCTGCAGGAGCAAATTGGATCATGCTTTGTTGGGGTTTTTTGCCTTTCTCTGGATCAACTGTGGGTATAGGAATATAACATTTATTTATTTGCATTGTTTGAACTAAAATAAAAATGTTTGTATTTTTTTCAGCCACACTAATGTAAGTCTGGGATTAGAAGTTGTTAGTGACAGCCTGGTCTGTGTACAGGGGATGCACAAATAAGGGTACGTACATATGTGGTAGAACAGCTTAAAGCCCATATATACACAAACATACATACACAAACACACATACACAGGCAGATTTATGGGGCTACCATGTGCCTTGTACATTTAAAAACAAAAAAAAAAGTAAACTACTTTTTATGTTATGTATGTTTGTCCCACAGCCAGTTTATAACTCAGCACATACAGTTTTGCTATAAGCTATTATACTACCAATGTAAGAAAATATCTTTAGGATTTTGTGTGAACATTCTCAGCATTCAGAAGTTGGAAACATTTAACAGATAAAGCAGGTAACATTAAAACATTTGCCCCAATTTCTTGTGTTAAAAGCTGACTAATGCTTTAAAAATGAATAGTTTAAAAGAAGGTGGCAATTGGTACAAATGCTCAGCATTTGAATCACCAGCAGTCCTCTATCGCTTTTCTATTGTTTTCAGCTCACATATTTTTTCTCAGTCATTCGCTTTGATAGTAAATATTTATATGAAAAGTAAATGAGCAACATATTCAAACTCAAACCACCAGGATCTGCATCTAAACTTTTTATGCTGTTGACTTACATGTGAAAGCTTTATTTTCTGGAACTTCAGAGGCAAACTTGCCACTGCATGTCACTTTGAAAACATGTATAGAAACCAGTAAAACAAATGTCATATCTAATGATCTATTGTTTCCAGATATTTACTGAGTCCCCACAGGTTGTATAGCTTTCCTGCATAAATAAATGGTGCCATTCATGCATTTCAAGTTTAGTTACAGAGTATAGCTGGTTATACATGTACCAAAATGTGGAAGTTTCAGCAGAAACAGGGTGGTTTTCGGTACGTGTGTATTGCTGTCTGTTCAACAGAAGCCAACCGGCTTCTGTCGAACGGTCAAGCTGGAAAACCAGCATTTGATCAGCGCTTGCATCCAATGGCTGCAGCACTGATCTGTGTATTCTGATGGGAAGAGGGCAGCCTCCGCTGTCAGAATACAATAGTGCAGTAGGGAAGATCCTTGCATCCACATTGCTTGTGTGGGGATGGGTATCTGTCAGTTTTTTTCATTTAGCTCACTAGTTGGATGAAAAAAACTATACGTGTATACCCTGCTTAACTAATATTACTATTCACTGTAAGTCAGATCACATGCTAGAAGCATATACCAATAACTAGGAATATAAGCAGCAACAAATTAGTAATCTTGCACTAGCAGCACAAGTACATGATAAATATGATCCATACATGAAGGAACCCTTATGTAGCTCCTCATGACCCAATTTTGTATAATAATACTTAGTTACATATCTGAATATCCATCCATTCATTTTATTGGACGATGAAAGGCTAAGTTCACTTTTAGTAACATGCCACACGTGTAATAAGGGTGTAACATGTAACAGTGCACCTGTCCCCGCACTCCTAGATACACCCTCCCCCTATGACAGTGGCCAGGAGAGCATCTCCCAGCACCGCTGTCACAATTTAAAATCGGTGTAGCTTTGCACAGCCACATCATTCATTCACATTGATCTGTGAATGAAAGTCCTGTCTACCACCAATGCCTCAGTAACTGCTCATACGGGAGGTATGGGCAGACAGCAGTACTAAGCGTTTGCAGGAGCCTGACATTGCACCTGTGATCTACTGAATGCAGGTGCAATGCTTTTCAGGCTCCTAAGAAATTAAGTAATAAATGCACTTTTTACCTGCAAAAATTGTGCATTTATTATTTTTTTTTTTTAAAAGTGAACTTATCCTTTAAAAGCCTCTGAGACCAACACTGTTATTTTACGGCTAATTTTCTTTTCCTCAATTATTTGTTTGAAAATGAAATGTCAAAGTGTCAAACAGGCAAAACGTTTGTTCAGTTTTTTCAAAGTATCTGTCTCTTAATATTACATTAGTGCAACCTTTACAGCACTGACCAACTCAAAAGAAACTTACCACTAGAACAAAACTGTGCTCAGGCAATATCCCATATTCTTCAACAAGTCTTTCCCTGGTGACTCTGGGAAGTTCGGGCAACATTTCTTTAATCAAGTCTATATTTATAACTTGACTATCATCCACGTTATTTGGTAATGTCTTGTTATCATAAAGTATCAGTGGAGGAAGGTTTGGTTCTGGCATAAACCTTTAGAGAACACAGAAGAACATTTTAAATTAAAAAATTTTTTAGAAATGTAAAGTTATAATTAGATTTTTTTTACCATAAAAAACTCCCCACCAAGCCACCTGCTCACTCAGTATTTTATAGTGCACATCACATACCTTAATAATTGCAGTAATGCAGCTGTCAAAGTAACATGCAGGGCCTGGTTTTACTCAAGCCATGGAAGGAAATGCACACATATACACTAGATATGTGTAGCACTGCTATGGAACGATATGTCCCAATTGCAGTGTTTGCTGTATGAAATTCAGGATTCTTTAACTAGTAACACCAATAACTTTTTAATGGCATTACATGACATGTGGAGATGATCTGTTTTTGTCAACCCATATATATTATTTCCTTATTTCTTAGTGATCACCAACCCTTTATATATCAGTAGAATAAAACCCTCTAAATGTCATATGAGGCAGGGAGACCATGAATGGGACTTTATATGTGCCACTGGGAAGTCACACAGAAATAACATAATCCATTTTTATTTCATAAACATAAAAACAAAAAGGTACAAAACACCATTAAAAGCAATTAATTCACATATACAATTCATCTTGTAGTGATTAGGCATACAGGACCAACTCATTTCACGAAGGGGGTAGCTACTTCAGGATTCACATCTTAATTGTATATTCTATATTATGAATTATACATTCTCCAAGCACCAACTGTAGATCTAATTCTAGTAACTTCTGCATTCCAGACACGTAAAACACCATTCCTTCCACATCTTTTCCATGAGTATCCCACCAGGGATACCTTCAATTAAACAACGGAGTATACTAATTCTATATATTATGACTCAGTTCATAATATATAGACATGAATATTCTCTCATACTGAACAGCAGTGTTCATCAACACTATGGGGACACCAACAGGGCTAACTCTAAAAGTGGATATGGCAATATATTTAGAGCCTTTTGGCTACTACAGTCACCTTCTGCCTATCCTCCCTTACTCACATCTTCAGTCTTTCCCTTTCTACTGGCACCTCCCCCCAAAGCATACACTGAACACGCTCCCTTTTACCACAAAACATTTATAATGCCTAGTCTACAAGCATCTGAGCTCCTATCAAACAGACAACAACCTTTTTGACCCTTCAGTCTTGGCTTTTGCTTACAAGAATTTGCCTTACTAAAACTCACTAACAATTTACAAACTGCTAAAGCCAATGATCACTAGTTCATACTCTTACTGCTAGACCTTTCTGCTGCCTTTGATACTGCTGACCACTGATCTTTGTAAAAAACTCCATTCCCTTGGCCTCCAAGATTCCACTCTTTTCTGGTTGTCCTCCTATCCCAGCGTTCCTTCAGTGTTGCCTGCAACTCTGTCTCCTCCTCTCCACTTCCTCTTTCTGTAGGGCCCCCCAAGTTTCTGTCCTTGGGCCCCTTTTCTATCCATCAGTCACTCCCAGAGCTTCCAATACCATCTCTATGCTGATGACACCAAAATCCATCTCTCTTTTCCCCACCTCACCCTTTCTCCAACTCAGTCCACTTTAAGGTGAACCCTGAAAACATCTTTTCAAGAAAGTCTATCCTGGCCTTAAGCTAACAACTGAATCTTTTATTTCTCCCATCAGTTCATCCTTCACAGTTACCACCTTTTTGTTCCACATGACCATCCATATTAGATTGTAAGCTCTCAGGAGCACTGTCCTCCTAACCCTCTTGTATTGAATTGTGTTCAGACTGTACTGCCCCCCTTTATATTGTAAAGCACTGTGCAAACTGTTGACGCTATATAAATCCTGTATGATAATAATACATCTGCTTGTTTTTGCTCTTATGCTGGCAGATAAGAGGGTAGGAATGAGAAGGGGTCAGAATTATAAATTCTATTTTGTACCCCTTTGAAATGACAGATTGGACTCAGAGGTTTGGGACGTCTTTGATCCTGACCGGTGCAAATACCAGGAGGAGGGCTTCTAGGGAGGCTTGATGGACTTATGGATGCAAGGTTTGTGACTAAAGGAAATACTAAGCCTTGGTTTGGAGTAGAGGTTGGAGTAGAGGTAGTAGCTGTAGGAGTAGGAGAATTCTTAGGTTTTTCTTAGTAGGTTTTTCTTTCTCCCTTGATGAGTTTATCAAGGGATTTCCTAAATAGGCATTCTCTGTCAAAAGGCATGTGTATAAGATGCCTCTACAATCAAGTACAACAAACCAAGCTTTTAATCACAAAATCCTGTGCATATGCAGAGTTAAGAGATATTCTAGAGATATTGCAAGAGTATCAACCATAATCAATAAGGCTGAGGGCATCAGCTGCAATTGTTGTAAGAGAACAGGATCGTCAAAGAGAGGTTTATGTTTTCTTTTCATCTGTCTTGCCCAGTTACCATATCTTGCAAAAAGACATGGTAGCAGTTGTCCATTGCAGAGATGGACTTGCAAGGGCAAAGGAAATCTTTAAGAGGGCTTCCGGAAACTGAAGGTTATAGAGAGTGCTGAAAGTTTTAAAAAAAATTAAGACATAGTGGCAGAGAAATCTGCTAGGAAGGGAGCGGTATCATTATAGGACAAGGCAACAGCTATGACTCTGAAGGTGCTCTGTGTATCCTGTAGGCCATCAGCAGAATTTGCACTATTCAGCCCGTTTGTCCCAGTTCCCTTGCACCTGTATACTCCGTTGTTTAATTGAGGGTATCCCTGGTGGGATACTCATGGAAAAGATGTGGAAGGAATGGTGTTTTACGTGTCTGGAATGCAGGAGTTACTATAACCCAGGTAGTGATCAAGTTCTTTTGGCTGTGTCTCTGCTATGCACATTTTTCAGCTGGAATGGCAGATGGAAGTGCGTCAGCCATCAGGTGCCAAAAACATTAGAGATGAGTATAACAGGGAGTAATACAATAAAGTGAATAGCTTCTGATTTCTCTGCCTATGAATCCTCTTTCTGTGCTAAGAGCTGCAGGAGTTGTCTATCAATAGCTAAGAACCGGTCCCAAACTACAGGAAATCCCTGTACTACCTTACCCACATGGCTGGGACTGTTAGGGGTCTAGGTTCTGAGAGTCACAGTAGGCGTATCCCTGAAGGGGTCTTCAGGGTCTGGGAACCATAGAGATAGACCATGGCTCTGGACTTGGACCTTAGCCCTCCAGAGGCTAACTACACACATTGCACTTCATTTCATGTTGAACACCTAATGTAGGATCCAGTGCCTCAAACAAACATTACAGGCCTGCCTCACATAGTGGGACCTGGAAAACAGTTCTCAAGGAACATTTATTTAACATTTATATAATCTTTTTCACACAAATAGAGCTTTATTTTGGTGATAGTTAATCACTTCTGGGTTTTTTATTTTTTATGATATAAATGAAAACAAGGCCAAAAATTAAAAAAAATATATTTCTACTTTCAGATATAAAACATATCAATTAAAATCAAATTTGTTCATGAATTTAGGCCAAAATGTATTGTGCTACATGTCTACTCTAGTATACACTACACTAGTAATTGCTGTGATCGGCAGCTTATAGTGTGACTGTGATATGGTGTTGGGCAATCTGCTGCTAACTGACACTTGCTGGGAGAGACACTAACTGACACTGTCGTCTTTAGTGCCACTAATACAGTGATCAGTGATGATAATGTACACTGTACTAATGAGACTGGTTGGGAAGGGGTTAACATCAAGGGCCAATGAAGGGGTTAACTGTGTGCCTAACAAGTGTACTGTGTAATATGTTCTGCTTTTACACACTGCTTTTCAGGGAGAAGTAACAGTCAGACCGCTGTTCTGTGTATAGTGTTTGTAAACACAGAACTCTGTGCTGTGATTGGCCAAAGCCAATCAGCAGGTTTCAGCCAAACTCAGGCTGTGTCCAATCACAGCACAGGTCAGCAGTGGGAGCACACATGCGTGCCAGACAACCAAAAAGTTCACTGCAACATACGGGTACACCGCAGTACCTGGCTGTGCCTCCTACTCACAGCACCCATTTATAGTGTTTTCTTTTTCCAAAGACTGCATCTTGGACTTTTGCCTATCTTTCCCTAATATCTCAATACCTATCAACACTGTGCTATAGTTTTTTATCTTTTGAACCCATGGCCTATGACTGCAAGTCCTATGTCCTGTTCTGTACAAATAAAAAATTCTGTATTCAATTCATGTAGTCTTCATATTTAACAATGGATCCGACTGAAATTGTGTGACTTCTCTTGAAGTTGCACAGTTTCAAAGTCGCAAAGTCAGTGCAACTTCAAGTGCGACTTGGAAGACATCTGTGTGAGTTCATGCACAAATGTCTATGCAAGTCACACCTGAAATCGCAATAAATAGTGCAGGAACTACTTTCAATTTGAATGGTTCCATTGCAGACAATAGGGTGTGACTTGTCATGCAGTTTGACAGTTTCAAATCGCATAACAAGTCACACTGGTGTGTCCCAGGACTTACATTTAATGATAACATCTGTATAAAGATAAAAAGGTACAAAAACTCCAAACTGTGAATTTCTAAAGCTTACTTCTTTTGCGTATAAATCAATAAAAATACTGCATGAACAAACCAAGGAAACTGATTACACAGTTAGGAGCACATGCTGCTGTTGCTCAGTTACAGTTAGCTTTATTTACATATAGTGTATGTATTAGAAATAATGCAGATACATGAGAAACACAAGTTTTAAAAATTCTTTGTTATCCTTCTACAAACATCAGGCTTCATAGCAGCTTCCATAAATGTAAAAAAAAAACCTACAGTAGATGTTTTGTAAAATATTAAATCAAGCTAAAAGTATGCACTTACCGGTAATCTTGCTTTCCTTCCTTATCCCTCATAGGTATGGTGGCCCTTAATAAAGTGCAAAATAGCAAATAATTTAATTTACATAACAAAAAAAAGTTTTAAGTTGCTGCTCATGAAATGAAATGAAAGAAAAGAGCATATTACAACTGAACATGTATATATGAAAGATAATATGTTGCTATGAGCCTTTGTGTGCTTTTAACTCATTTTACATTGTGATGCTAAATTCATTGCTAGATAATAATGTTTAATAATCATATACTCTGCCCATGCAAAAACTACTATCATAAAAATATTTCTAGAACTTGCGTTACAAGACAAATATGGACACTACAGTCCCCTCAGAATTTTATTGCACTGAGACAGATAAGGACTGATGCCACAAGAGGGATAATTATAAACAAGCCTGCCAAAACTACAGCAACAGTAACATATACACTATATTGCCAAATGTATTGGGACACCCCCCAAATCACTGGATTCAGGTGTTACAATCCAATAGCCACAGGTGTATAAAATAAAGCACCTAGGCATGCAGACTACAATGAAAATAAGAAAAAATTGCCATACTAATTGATACAAAGCTGTATCCTTATATCTCCAACTCACTTATATAAAAGTGTGGATTGTAAACCTAATTATAATGAAAGACAAAAAATGGCAGTTGACTAGTGCAGAGCCTCCTAAAGAGTGGTTAATTAAATCCTACGCGGAGTAATATATCACTACAGGAGTGAATGCAATAGTGTTTTTATTAGATCACATGGATCGTGAAAAAGGTAGACATTGACATGGTGAACATGTTGCAATCATATCAAAATCAAAGAATTAAAATAAAAAAAAACGTTCAGCGTCTTCAAAATGGCTGTGTGGGCAAAAATGATTGATGTGAGGCAGTAGAGTTTCCCTTCTGTATTCATCAAATGTAAAATTCCATACTGTATAACCTAGTAAATTTTTTTTTCTTCTTTTGCTGTTCCTTCATGAACATCACATGCAGACTACAATCCCTGGTAAAAAGTAGGGAATCACCACTCTTGGAAAATGTTTATTCAATTGTTTAATTGTGTAGAAAAAAAAAAAAAAAACAGACAAGCCTCAAAACTATTTTTCATTTAACATTCCAACCTTCTGGTTTTAAGAAACAGTTGCAAAAAAGAAAAAAAACTGTAGGGAATTGCAACTGTATTTGCAGATCAAGCAGAGGTAAAAAATATGGAATCACCATGTACTTTGCAGTTCTAAAACAAACATCTGAATCAGATTACATCTGCCAATTAGTCTGCAGTTAAAAGAGTGCTTGCACACCTTGGTGAGCTGTTCCACCCAGCTGACTGACATGAATCATGGCTCCAACACAAGAGATGTCATTTGAAACAAAGTAGAGGATTATGAAACTTCAAGAAGGTAAATCATCACTGAATGTTGCAAACGATGTTGGTTGTTCCCAGTCAGCTGTGTCTAAAATCTGGACTAAGTACAAATCAAATGGGAAGGTTGTAAAAGGGAAGCGTACTGGTAAACAAAGGATGACATCAAAGCGTCCAGATAGAAAATTTAAAGCAATATGCCAGAAAATGCACAACAAAACAAATGGGCAGAAACTGGAGTCAATGTTGGATACCGAACTGACAGACATCGCCTATAGGAAATGGGATTTACATACAGAAAAGCCAAATGAAATCATCATTAACACCTAAACAGAAAAAAAAACAAGGTTACAGTGAGCTTAAGAAAAGCAATCATGGACTGTGGATGACTGGATGAAAGTGATATTCAGTGATGAATGACGAATCTGCATTGGGCAGGGTGATGATGCTAGAACTTTTGTTTGGTGCCATTCCAATGAAATGTATGAAGACAACTGCCTGAAGAAAACATGCACATTTCCACAATCATTGATGATATGGGGTTGCATGTCAGGTAAAGGTAACGGGGAGATGACAGTCATTACATCTTCAATAAATGCAAAAATTTATATTGAGATTTTGGACACTGTTCTTATCCCATCAATTGAAAGGATGTTTGGTGGTGATGATGACATCATTTTTCAGGATTAATATTATTATACAGGATTTATATAGCGCCAACAGTTTGCTCAGCGCTTTACAATATAACGGGAGACAATACAGCAACAATACAGATCAATACAAGAGGGTTAGGAGGGCCTTGCTCCTTGGAGCTTACAATCTAAGAGGATGATAATGCATCTTGCCATTGGGCAAAAGCCGTGAAAACTTTCTTTCAAGAAAGACATATTATGTCAATGTCATGGATTGCAAATAGTTCAGATCTCAATCCTATTGAAAATCTTTGGTAAAAATAAAAGAAAATGGTCCATGACAAAGCTCCAACCTGCAAAGCTGATCTGGCAATTACAATAAGAGAAAGTTGAAGCTGGATTGATGAAGAATACTGTTTGTCGATAGTTAAATCCATGCCTCCCAGAATTCAAGCTGTTATAAAAGCCAGAGGTGGTGCAACAAAGTACTAGTGGTGTACTGTAGTGAGTTTTTTTTTTTCATGATTCCAAAATATTTTCCTCAGAATTGAGTGATTCCATATTCTTTTTCCTCTGCTTGATCTGCAAAAACAGTTTTCTTTCTGGTTAATTTTTTTAAATGTCTCTTAAAGCCAGAAGGTTGGAATGTTAAATGAAAATAGGTTTGAGGCATGTCCGTGATTCGTTTTTTTTTCTACACAATTAAATGAACATTTTGCAAGAGTGGTGATACTTTTTGCCAGGTGTTGTACTTCTACAAACATTTGTGAAAGAATGGGTCTCTCCCAGGAACTCAGTCAATTCAAGCAAGGTACCGTGATAATGTGTGAACAACAGTAACTCAGCCACAATGTGATAGGCCACGTAAAATGACAGAGCGGGGTCAACGCTTGCTGAAGCACACAGTGTGCAGAAGTCCCCAACTGTCTGCAGAGTCAATAGCTAAAGACCTCCTGACCTTCAGATTAGCACAACAACAGTGTGTAGAGAGCTTCATGGAATGGGTTTCCATGGCCGAGCAGCTGCATCCAAGCCTTACATCAACAAGCGCAATGCAAAGCGTCGGATGCTGTAGTGTAAAGCAAGCTGCCACTCGACTCTAGAGCAGTGGAGACGTGTTCTCTGGAGTGACAAATCACGGTTCTCTGTCTGGAAATTCGATGGACATGTCTGGGTTGGGCGATGGCCAGAGAGAACGAAACTTGCCTGACTGCATTGTGCCAAGTGTACAGTTTGGTGGAGGGGGGATTATGGTGTGGGGCTGTTTTTCAGGGGTTGGGCTTGGCCCCTTAGTTCCAGTGAGGGAACTATTAAGACGTCAGCATAAGACATTTTGGACAATTTCATGCTTCCAACTTTGTGGGAACAGTTTGGGGACGGCCCCTTTCTGTTACAGCATGACTGCACACAAAGCAAGGTACATAAAGACATGGATGAGCAAGGTTGGGGTGGAGGAACTTGACTGGCTTGCAAGCCAGGCCTTCTCGTCCGACATCAGTGCCTGACCTCACAAATGCTTCTGGAAGAATGGTCAAACATTCCCATAGACACACTCCTAAACCTTGTGGACAACTTTCCCAGAAAAGTTGAAGCTGTTATAGCTGCAAAGGGTGGGCCAACTCAATATTGAACCGTACAGACTAAGACTGGGATGAAATTAAGGTTCATGTGCATGTAAAGGCAGGCGTCCCAATACTTTTGGCAATATAGTGCATCAGTAGCTAAATACAGCAGGTACAGGTATATAACAGAAATGCTGCCAAAGCTCATGTCCCTATTGACTGGGAAAGCTCTGGCTCAGCAGAGAGTGTGCAAGAACTCTGTAAAGAGATCACTGTCTCTCCAAAGAAAGCAGCAAGGGTCCTATTGACTGGGAACTCAAGCTCTGGCTCAGCAGAGAGTGTGCAAGAACTCTGTAAAGAGATCACTGTCTCTCCAAAGAAAGCAAGGGTCCATCTCTGCAGCTGCTGGCAGGGGACAGGATTTTATACTCAAGCTATGGATGCTCTTTAAAGAAAACTAACTATAAGGCTGTTCAAACTTTATTGCACCTGGATGAATTTGGCTTATTTAAAATGAAGATTCATTTGGGCTTTAAATTATCCAATTAAAAGCAAGCACCACAGTTATATGTCTAATTATAACAACGTGCAACAGGTCTAATTCCACTGTTCAACAGGTAAAAAGTTTTGGGCATAAAATTAGCTAAATCTTACATAATTTTGGGGTGCTGAAAACGAAAATGACCCTAAAAAATGTTGATTGACTCTAGTTTCCATGATATATTCACCCATCTAATGACGTAAGCCATTCAAAATTATGATGCAACTTCAGCTGCATATTGCGCAATTGATACTGGTGACCAATAGAAAATTGCATGTATACTGAGATGATGCAATATTAGCCTTTAATTGCATCACTTCACTGCATAAAAGCTGCAGTATCTGTAGCTGATTGTAGTTCGACAGCGACTTTACATTTCGTTTTATCTTATATAGGCTACTCAGTAATGCCTCGAACTTGTGTGAATAAAGCAGATCATTTCTGCTATATCTGTGGTGAAATAACTTTTATCTCACAAAAAAGGAGGATAACAGGAATGATTAAGAAAGCCTACAACTTGTATTTTGGCTGCAAGATAGGAGACCAGGACAAGAGCTGGGCACAACATACAGTCAGGTCCATAAATATTGGGACGTCGACACAATTCTAACATTTTTGGCTCTATACACCACCACAATGGATTTGAAATTAAACAAACAAGATGTGCTTTAACTGCAGACTGCCAGCTTTAATTTGAGGGTATTTACATCCAAATCAGGTGAACGGTGTAGGAATTACAACAGTTTGCATATGTGCCTCACACTTGTTAAGGGACCAAAAGTAATGGGACAATTGGCTTCTCAGCTGTTCCATAGCCAGGTGTGTGTTATTCCCTCATTATCCCAATTACAATGAGCAGATAAAAGGTCCAAAGTTCATTTCAAGTGTGCTATTTGCATTTGGAATCTGTTGCTGTCAACTTTCAAGATGAGATCCAAAGAGCTGTCACTATCAGTGAAGCAAGCCATCATTAGGCTGAAAAAACAAAACAAACCCATCAGAGAGATAGCAAAAACATTAGGTGTGGCAAAAACAACTGTTTGGAACATTCTTAAAAAGAAGGAGCGCACCGGTGGGCTCAGCAACACCAAAAGACCTGGAAGACCACGGAAAACAACTGTGGTGGATGACCGAAGAATTCTTTCCCTAGTGAAAAAAAACACCCTTCACAACAGTTGGTCAGATCAAGAACACTCTCCAGGAGGTAGGTGTATGTGTGTCAAAGTCAACAATCAAGAGAAAACTTTGCCAGAGTGAATACAGAGGGTTCAAAACAAGATGTAAACCATTGATGAGCCTCAAAAACAGGAAGGCCAGATTAGAGTTTGCCAAATGACATCTAAAAAAGCCTTCACAGTTCTGGAACAACATCCTATGGACAGATGAGACCAAGATCAACTTGTACCAGAGTGATGGGAAGAGACGAGTATGGAGAAGGAAAGGAACTGCTCATGATCCTAAGCATACCACCTCATCAGTGAAGCATGGTGGTGGTAGTGTCATGGCGTGGGCATGTATGGCTGCCAATGGAACTGGTTCTCTTGTATTTATTGATGATGTGAATGCTGACAAAAGCAGCAGGATGAATTCTGAAGTGCTTCGGGCAATATTATCTGCTCATATTCAGCCAAATGCTTCAGAACTCATTGGGACGCCACCTCACAGTGCAGATGGACAATGACCCAAAGCATACTGCAAAAGCAACCAAAGAGTTTTTTAAGGGAAAGAAGTGGAATGTTATGCAATGGCCAAGTCAATCACCTGACCTGAATCCGATTGAGCATGCATTTCACTTGCTGAAGACAAAACTGTAGGGAAAATGCCCCAAGAACAAGCAGGAACTGAAGACAGTTGCAGTAGAGGCCTGGCAGAGCATCACCAGGGATGAAACCCAGCGTCTGGTGATGTCTATGCGTTCCAGACTTCAGGCTGTAATTGACTGCAAAGAATTTGCAACCAAGTATTAAAAAGTGAAAGTTTGATTTATGATTATTATTCTGTCCCATTACTTTTGGTCCCTTAACAAGTGTGAGGCACATATGCAAACTGTTGTAATTCCTACACCGTTCACCTGATTTGGATGTAAATACCCTCAAATTAAAGCTGACAGTCTGCAGTTAAAGCACATCTTGTTTGTTTCATTTCAAATCCATTGTGGTGGTGCATAGAGCCAAAAATGTTAGAATTGTGTCGACGTCCCAATATTTATGGACCTGACTGTATATGCTGCAATTCTTGTGGGACGGCACTGGAGCAATGGTTGAATGGAAAAAAGGCATCTATGCCTTTCGCTGTGCCAATGATTTGGAGAGAGCCAACAGATCATGTTAGTAATTGTTACTTTTGTATGGTGCCTCCAATTGTAAAAGGGCTAAATAAGAAGAAAAAGTTATCTGTGCACCATCCAAATATTCCATCGGCAATACATCCAGTTCCTCATGGAGAGGGGCTACCAATTCCTAAAGCACCAGAATCCTTCGTGGTTGAGTCAAGTGAGGAAGAACCTGAAGCGTGTAGTCACGTGCAGTTGTAAGAGATAGCCCTTTCCTCGAATACAAGAGAAAAGCCAAGAGAAGCAAAACCGACACAAACTGAAGACAAAACTAGTGAGAATCCTAAGTATTAAAATGATTCAACTTAGCTTATGGCTATAATTTTTCTTGGTAATCCTATGCAATATATTATGCCATTTAGGCTTTGTTATGTAGTCAATATCACTTGCTTTATATTTGTGGAAAGACATCTATCTATATAATTATTGTGCATTATGTAGTCATTACGCCTATAGTAGAAAACTTTCCGTTTACAGAAAAACTAGAGCCAATTGACAAATTTCATTGTTATATTTGAACTCAGAATGTGAAATTCATTAAGAAATGGATCCTTTTGTCTCCAAAACTGGCAAAAAATAAAAATTTGTTGAACAGTGCTTTAAAAAACAAATTATATTTGTAGATACACTCAGCAGCCACTTCATTAGGTATGTCTGATTAATAACACAAAAGGAAGGATACACGCTCCATTGAAAAATATTCTCTCTTACCCAAGTTTGTAATCAAAGGCCCTTGTTTCATTTAGGATTACACCTCCACCATTAAGGATTTCAGTTTGCCTTTTAATTTCATAATCTGAGATTTAAAGAAAAAAAAAAAAAAAGAAAGATTAGCCCTGTCATCTGATGGACCATTTAAAGTCTTATTCACACTAACTGCTGAGCTATGTCTTTAAAACCAGCTTTCTGCTCTACTTTTTATCCACACAAATGAAAAGAGATATTAAGGTACTTTGTCAACGGGCTTTGGTCAATTGCATCAGGTTGATATCAGCTTAAGGCTGGGTTCACACTTGAGCGGTGCGGTATATCTCATGTGATTCGCACAGGAACCACATTCCTGTGCAAATCACATGCGAATTGTGTGCGGTGCGATTGGAGCCATACATTTTGTATGGCTCAAATCGCACCACATCCGTACCGAAAAGGTAAAGGACTCTTTTTTTTGTCTGCGCTAGAATTGGATCACATGGGTATTCACACCCATTCAATTCGATTCTGCACATCGCACTGCGTTTTGCGGACCGATTTCGGGGTGCTGTTATCTTAACATACTATGACAGTAGGCAGGTGAAATCACCTGGTTGCGTCCTGGATGGACGATATATTTGTCCGAGGTTCAGGCTTTATGGGGATTTGTACCACTAGAGGGAAGTGCTGAGTCCTTCAGCACTGAGGTAATGAGCCCAGCTGAAGGTAGTGGGCTCATTAACACCTGTATAAAACTTCCCAGAGTGCTTAGGGAGTTGCTCCACCCTGGAACCAGATCTGTGCCTGAACTGTCTGGGGAGCTGACCTATTATCTGTGTGCAGAGAGACCAAAGCCTGTGTGGCTAGCCTTCAAGTGCTAGCAACTAGGTATAGCAGCAGGCTGTACCTAGTGGGTAGCTAGGGAAAGCGGTTGTTGCAGTAAGTAGCCAAGTTGGCCAGGATTTATTTTGATGTTTCTTTTTGGTTTACCATTTTTTTTGTAAATATTGTAAATAAATTGCACCTGTTTGTTTTCACCTCCACTGTTGTTGTGCTGTGCCTGTCTTTTTGTGTTGTGCACCCATCCAGGGGGTCACACACACCCGCTGCTGAGCTAACCCTGTTACAAATACACACCTGCAGCGGTTCGCATGAATGGGATGCGATTGTGAAGCGGTGTGGAATTTGCACAGAAAACGCTGCAAATTCCGCACCGCATCAGTGTGAACCCAGGCTAAAATGCTTCTGAGATCATTCAAAATGAACAGGTGTATTTGACCTACAGGTGACCTACTTCAAGTTGAATGCAAATCCCATCTGAAGTGAACCATAGCGTGTCAACACAGGCCGTTACTGATGCGTAATAGTCTGTTTACCTTTAAGCCCTGGTTCACACTGATGCTGTGTGGAATTTGCACCGTTTTCAATGCGAATTCCGCACCGTATCAGAATCACACCCCATTCATGCGAACCGCTGTGGGTGTGTATGTTAAGTTAACAACACCCCGAAAGCGGTCCGCAAAATGCGGCGCGAGGTGCAGAATTGGATCGCATAGGTGTGAATACCCATGCGATCTAATTCTAGTGCGGACCCAAAAAAGGGTCCTGCATGTTTTTGGTGCGGGTGATTGCAAATAGAGCCATACAAAATGTATGGCTCCGATCACACCGCACAAAAATCGCATGTGATTTGCACAGGAATGCGGTGCGGTGCCTGTGCGAATCACATGAGATATACCGCATCGAACATATGTGAACCCAAGCTTATGGATAAAGGTTTGTGTTAATTATACAAGTGATGCATAATCTGTGGACATGACAAACAATAATTGAGTAAAGTATGAGCTTTAAATGTAACAATATTTAGTAAATTCAGTTGAATAAATGCATCTTCAGGTTGAAAAATGTCATGGGTGGGGGGAATAGTTGGGTAAAAATCGATTGGAAGTGAAGGCCTAGTGGAAATGGTTATGCAAAAGCAGGTGGTACTGTCATATTTCTTAGTAAATGATAAAACATCTGCTGCATATTGCCAACTTAAACAAAACTGAGTCTCACAAAGATCAATATTATTTTGTACAATCTAGATTCATTGACAAGTGTTAGGCAATATAATATACACTTTCTATTTAGCAAACAGTAAAATATAGGGACTGTATGAGCATAGTACTAGAACCAAATTACAAGCAATGTGAAAGTCTGTGATTTCTTTCTACTGAGCACATTAAAGCAAATATTCTAAAACAGTATATAAATATACATCTCCTAATGTGTAAGAAAAAATTACAGTACCGATAGCTCTTGCCAAAAAACGAGCACTATTAATGTTCTTAACTTCTGTCCTTACTCCAAACGGCTCTCCAGGATAATGAACAGATATATTTGCATCGACTCTCAATTGTCCCTCTGTAACAAAAAGGCAGTATAAAAATTTGAAACTTTTTTTTTTTTAATTTTATTTTTTAAACAGATCCTGTCAGAAGTGGTGTCTGCATTCATTTTCTTATTTATGCTTTCTTTCTTCCATTTTCATCTGGTGATCCAGCCAGCAAACCTGCTGTTTTGCAAAAGAACAAGTTCTCCAGTAGATGTATGTTACATAGATGATACAATCCATTTAAAGTGGAAGTAAAGGCAAACCCTAACTAACTCTAAACCCACTCTCAGCAACATTTTAAGCTTCATCTATTTAGCCCTGTAAAGAAAAAATCACTATACTTACCCGTTCTGGTCCCACACTGAGATGTCAGTGGTGGCTTCAGGAATGAGTAGGAGAGGCAGCCTTCAACGGAGGCTCCATAGTAACTCTATGGGTGATGCCACTTCCCAGCTATAGTCGGCTGCCTCCAGCTCACAGAGGACACAGCTGGAGACCAGACCCGAGTGGATTCGGAACAGGTAAGTATAGCGATTTTTTTTTCTTTACAGGGCTAGGTAGATTAAGCTTAGAATGTGGCTGAGAGTAGGTTTAGTGTTAGTTAGGATTTACCATTACTTCCACTCCAGTACTGGCAGGGGTGTTTACAATGTTCAGCTTTTATTTATGTATGTAAAAATCTTTATCCCAAAAGGAAAAACACTGTTGCTGTAATTGCTTATAAAGTAATAGCTGGAGTTTGGCTTCAACTGTAAGTGTATTTAAGTCTGCTAGTGCATCCAACACTCCCATCCTCCCAAATTAACACTGCTGCTGTCCAAAGGTGCTTCTGTGCTCCTTCATAAAAAGTGGGGGCACTCTTACTGGTCAAAAAAACTGGTGAAAACAGAGGGAAAAAGGACTAAAAATAGAAAACTAATGCAGCCACCACATGACTAATAACTGGTGAGCTGCAATATATTACTTTTTTAGTTTAGGGTTTAATGCCACTTTAACTTTCTGGCAAATCTGAAACTCCTGGGTCAACTTATACCCTTTAACCTTAGTAACGGGAAGCACACCTTTAATCTACTTATACTAGGAGTTTTTATTCAGTGCATACAACTTTGAAAATTATGTAGCTGCATTTTAGGTGTTGCTCTAAATGGAAAGATACTATGCGTAACAAAGTAGAAACAGACATGCATCTTAACTACGCATGAGATATTGGAGAAAGTGGAGGGATTGCCAATTGCTTCTAAACAGATGTCTGGTTTCATTGCTTAATACATGCAAACAATGCCAGTTGAAATCTGGATATTTGGGCAACACCTTCACATTGTTTTTGTAGTTCTCCTAAATTAGTTGCTTTGGGCCTGCGAGGTGCGAAAACCAACAGCAGGTGTAAACAGCAGCATGTACAGTGCATCCAGAAAGTATAAACAACGCTTAACTTTTGCCACATTTTGTTATGTTACAGACTTATTCCAAAATGGATTAACTTAATTTTTTTTATCTCAACATTCTACAAACAATACCCCATAATGACAACGTGGGAGAAGATCGTTTTGACATTTTTGTAATTTATTGAAAATAAAAAAAAAAACACATGTACATAAGTATTCACAGCCTTTGCTCAATACTTTGTTGAAGCCCCTTTAGCACCAATTACAGCCTCAAGTCGTTTTGAGTATGATGCTACAAGCTTGGCACACCTATTTTTGGGAAATTTCTCCATTCTTCTTTGCAGTACCTCTCAAGCTCCATCAGGTTGGATGGGGAGCGTTGGTGCACAACCATTTTCAGATCTCTCTAGAGATGTTCAATCGGGTTCAAAGTCTGGGATCTGGCTGGGCCACTCCAGGACATTCACAGAGTTGGCCTGTAGCCACTCCTTTGTTATGTGGGCTGTGTGCTTAGGGTCATTGTCCTGTTGAAAAATGAACCGTCGCCCCAGTCTCTGGAGCGCTCTGGAACAGGTTTCCATCAAGGATGTCTCTGAACATTGCTGCATTCAACTTTCCTTCGATCCTGACTAGTCTCCCAGTTCCTGCCGCTAAAAAAAAAATCCCCACAGCATGATGCTGCCACCACCATGCTTCACTGTAGGGATGGTGTTGGCCAGGTGGTGAGCAGTGCCTGGTTTCCTCCAGACATGACCCTTGGCATTCAGGCCAAACAGTTCAATCTTTGTTTCATCAGACCAGAGAGTTTTGTTTCTCATGGTGCCTTTTGGCAAACTCCAGGCGGGCTGCCATTTGCCTTTTACTGAGGAGTGACTTTCGTTCTGGCCACTCTACCATACAGGCCTGATTGGTGGAGTGCTGCAGAGATGGTTGTTCTTCTGGTGGTTCTCCTCTCTCCACAGAGAAACACTGGAGCTCTTTCAGAGTGACCATCGGGTTCTTGGTTACCTCCCTGGCTAAGGCCCTCCTCCCACAATCGCTCATTTTGGCCAGGCGGCCCACTCTAATAAGATTCCTGGTGGTCTAAACTTCATCCATTTGTGGATGTTGGAGGCCCCTGTGCTCATTGGGACCTTCAATGCTGCAGAAATTTTTCTGTACCCTTCCCCAGATCTGTTCCTTTATACAATCCTGTCTCGGAGGTCAACGGACAATTCCTTGGACTTCATGGTTTGGTTTGTGCTCTGACATGCACTGTTAACTGTGGGACCTTATATACACCGGTTTATGCCTTTTCTAATCATGTCCAATCAACAGAATTTCCCACAGATGGACTTCAATCAAGTTGTGGAAACATCTCAAGGATGATCAGTGAGAACAGGATGCACCAGAGCTCAATTTTGAGTGTCATGGCAAAGTCTGTGAATACTTATGTACATGTGTTTTTTTTTTATTTTTAATAAATTGCAAAGATTTCAAAACTAACTTTTTTCATGTTATCATTATGGGGTATTGTTTGTAGAATGTTGAGGGAAAAAAATGAATTTAATCCATTTTGGAATAAGGCTGTAACATAACAAAATGTGGCAAAAGTTAAGCGCTGTGAATACTTTCTGGATGCATTGTACACAAATGCCTAATATGCATGATGAAAAAATCGGATGATCGTTCGTACACAACTTTGGAGAGCTGATCACGACTGTTCATGCAAAATGATTAGAAGGGACAAGCACGAATATGGTTCTTGAAAAAAGAGCAAACGATTTTCCTGTAATCTGTACAGTATTTGTGCATATACAAAACAAATGATCAAGACTGCGTATACTCAGAAACTAAAGCATACATTACATCATCGCCAGACGTTTTATTCTGTTGAGAATTTTCGTAACTTCAGTAACCTATTCACTTTCAACATGAGACTAGCATGCAAAAAAAAACCCCAAAAACAAAAAATTTTCTCATCATGTGTATGAGGCTTAGGGCTAGATGTGCAATGACATTTGAGCGCACAGTAACACAGCTATTGAATTAAGAAGTTTTTTTGTGCATTTATGAAGTGTTTTAAAAGCATTTGCATTGCATTAGAAAAAGCTTTCCAGATGCCACCTCTATCTTAGTTCTCTATTGTATGGACTCTTGTACTATCATCTCAGCTAGAAACACCTTCTAAACACAACTCGAGTGCACTGTAAATAACATAGGGGCATTTGTGAGGAGTTTGTAGTGAGATTTAGCACATTTACATTGACATGAATGGAGATGTTTGGGGAACAGTAAAGCCAGCAAAACAACACGTTGGATCAATTTCAGTGTGATGCAATGCAAAGCAATACCAGTGCGAACAACACTGCAATGCATAGAATTTTGACAGGTGTTCAAGGGGCTTTTAAAACACCTATGAAACGCCTGCTTTTGATGCTAGTGTAACTTAGCCTTATCCTACATTAATATTATAACAGGAAAGTGCTTGTATGGCTTTGAACATACCAATTCCAAAATGTTTAATATTTATGATATGTAGCTTAATATTTTATATGTTTAGGGCCCATTTACACCGTGTATGTTGGGCAGCATTTTCCCGACGCATTCCCAAGATATTAACAAGGAAATTTGCCTCAAGAAAGTAGGATAGGATGCATTCTTACGCAGTACTGAGTGTGTTGATGCATTACACCACATCACAATGTGCTGCATTTAACAAAGAACATTAAAAAAAAAAAACATTTTAATAAAATTAAAAAAAAAAGAAAGAAAAAGAAAACATTCTAACAAGGCATCATACTGCCCCTATACAACGCACACCAGCGAGGCAGGCTTAATATCTCTATATGTAGTGGTTAAATTCATTTTTTCAGATTAAGAACCTTTTCAGCACATATAGATAATAGCTGGTAATTCTGCAAAAAATACAGTGTCATTGTCACTTCTTGTGAGATACACAGAACAAAACTTATCTTTCTTTTGTAAACTACTAATTGTGTCATCCTACCTGTAATGAAGATGAAAAGGCAGGCAGGTTTGAAGTCCAGCCTGGGCAGCAACCATGGCTTCCTCCAGAGATACAATGGAGGGCTATGGTGTCCGTTTATGAACCAGCGATAAATGATCGCTGCTCAATTCTCCGGCATTCTCGGAGAACACAGTTCTCCTGTGAATGCCTTTTATGAAGCAGTTTCTCCGAACGAAGGGAGAACAGTCTACAAACGCTGGAGAACGGTCTACAAACGGTGGAAAACGGCTGATTTTACTATAATCTCACGAAATTACAGTAAAAGATCAGTTTACTAAGCAGAGGTAAATTATCGCTGCTTAGTTTGCAGTCCCTCCGATTCTCCAGCTCTGGGCTGGAGAATCTGGAGGGAGAACACAGATCTCCAGTGAAGGGCTTAACATGTTCTCCTGATTGTCATAAACTGTGAAAGAGCAGAGAATAGCTGTGATCCTCTGAATCGCAGCTATTCTGTGTGTCATAAACGGACTCCTAAAAGTAGCCACTCAGAGACAAGACTTTGTATTATCTCCAGGACCACTAGGTGTAACTAAAGGGCAAAAAATTCTGAAAAAAGAAAGCCAAACCAGGCACCTTGTATAAGGACTGGTAAACTGCAATACAATATATTACATTTTTGTTATTTGTTTTAGAT